AAGCGTAGGATACAGAAAATTAGTTAGCTACTTATTCCTTTATTTTATAGGTTATAATAGAATATTATGTCTAGCAAAGCTGTTACGGGTTCTACCTGCTTCGAGTTACACGCTGTTGGTTGCAGGTCATGCAAGACATCACGTGATACTGAGTATATAGCTTCGACTTTTCTATATATAGCCTCACCTATTGTGAAAAGCTTTTGTTAAAAAGGATAAAATTATCGTAAGAACCCCTCTAGAGCCTGCCGCCTCCAAAAGAGCTCCCGTTAAAAGCAAGGATGGAAAGTGAAGTGGCATAGGATTACCTACGTTGGGTAGCTTATCATGACCACTACCCCTCACAACTTCAGATGCTCACGCCCCATCTTCAACCCGGCTCCTTTCCACCTTGTCAGCATTCTCGTCCTAGACCGTTCCAGCCCAATTTTGCTCCGTCTGGCATGGCACGTTATCAATACACTAGACTTCTTACCGGAACTGAGGAGATTAGGGTCCTCAAACTGTTACCTGGTTCATTTCACGATGCAATTCGAATGGAACTCTCTCTTGTCCGACTCGTCGTACCTGAGCTACACCCGGTGCAGAGAATGTCTTTGAAAGAAATCAGAAGCACGTTGCCAAGTACCTGGCAGGCCGTCGAAACTGTTGAGGGTGATTACATCTTCTACAACTCCGAAGACGATCATACTTATTGGAGACATCCGGATGCTGCAGTCGACTCATCGCGCTATGCCCGCCCTCCAGAAGCGCCTGGTCCAGGTTTCCAGCCACAGTACGAAGCACTATCGTATAGCTGGGATTTAACAGAAAGCCCAGAAGATGCCTATGTTGAGCCGGCAGACGCAGCTTCATCAAAAAATGACAACACGATACCAATTACGCAAAATCTTGCGTCAGCATTGAGACATTTGCGATATCCATATAAGCCACGTAACCTATGGGTTGACGCCGTATGTATCAATCAGCATGACGAGATCGAACGGAACGAGCAAGTCAAACGCATGGCCAATATTTACAGGCTAGCGGAACGTGTTGTGGTTTGGCTTGGGCCGCAATCAGAAAACAGCGAATTAGCCATTAGAACGTTAGATTATCTCGGCGCGCAGTCAGAGTTTTGCAAGGGGCAGATTCTCACCCGCTCCCCCTCCGCGATTGAGGTGCATTGGTTTGATTCGACGTGCGATTTGCCATACAACCTTACGACCAGTCTCGCAACACAAAATCTACTAAGTCGCCCTTGGTTCTCCCGCTTATGGGTCTGGCAAGAAGTCCAGCTCGCGAACAGCCTCACCCGGATGCAATGTGGACATAAGTCAATATCATGGTCTCGCCTCCGCCGAGCAGTAGTCTGCTTATGGATGAAAGGCGGTTGGCCGGCTCAATTTCACGAAGCACTCGCCAATCTTGAGCCTCTCACACAACCTCTACAGACGATATCTTTTGGCCGCTTGCTCTACAGCATGACCACTCAAAAATGCTCTGATCCTAGGGATAGAATCTATGGGCTGCTGGGTCTCACGAGTTCGGCCTTAGCGAGCAGGATCGAACCACAGTATTCGCTTCCGGTCACTACTGTCTATAAAGAAGCGTTTCTCATATATCTGGATCACTTTCATCGACTGGATCTACTCCGATACTGCAGCCTGGAAAACATGCTGGCTGGAAGTGCATCATGGATTCCCAATTGGTCTGCACCGGCAGGCAAGCGCTTGGGGTATTCTTCGGTGTCGAGTGGTGCATCAAGAGCTTCAGCCAGATACTTAGCTCCCAACGTTCTAGAGGTAGATGGTGTTCATTGTGCAACCGTGTCGGTCGTTACAGAGCCGCCAGCGTGGAAGGTGGAAGATGCACTGCGTGACTTTCAAGCATGGGCGCTGGATTCTCTGTATCAAACAACGCCATATATCACCGGAGAAAGCCGAGAGGACGCTTTTGTTTTAGCGCTTGGTGGCAATCTTGTTAAAGAGCGATGTCCGGCGTATTCGTTTGCGCTCCCCACTCAGAAATTGAAAGATTTGGTGTTTGAGAATATCAGCAACCGCGCTAACAATTGCCACATTGACCCGGCCAGCGTTAGAGCACTCAAACATGCGATTGGCATCGTTTGGGGAGGTCGATTTTTGACGACAAGAGAGGGGTATATAGGATTAGGACCTATGGCGGCGCAACCTGGTAAGTATAATTCAATAAGTATTGTGATCAACACTTGACCCTGAACAGGCGATTATGTTTGTGTTCTGCTTGGTAGTAACGACCAGATGTTATTGCGTCCTCATCCCGCTGGGTCATTTCAGGTCGTTGGAAGCGTCTACGTTCACGGCCTGAGCGACGCCACAGCGCTTCTCGGACCAATCCCAGCACCATGGACGGTACATGTTGATGATGATGACGCTGGCGAGTATCGACATCGGTTTTTCAATTCCATAACTGGCCAGCACCACTCCTTATCAGAAGATCCACGGCTGGAACCTCTGCCTCCCGAATGGGAGCACGTACCAAGAGATAGAACAGCTGAAGACCCCCCAGTTTTTGAAACTTTTCGAAACAAAATGACCGGAGAGGAAATGAACTCGGATCCAAGAATGCTCCCAGACGCGTTGAGGAAACGTGGGGTTCCTTTGCAGACATTTCAGCTTGTTTGACAATAAGTGGTCTTAGATCTGCCTCATTCTCATGTCTAATCCTAGCCATTTTTAGTACCCCCAGACCTCAACGAAGCCTGGAACATGAATACGATGATATAGATCTACTGCTCGACCTTTCTCTTATCAAGAATCCTAATAGAGACAGCCTTCATCAGTTGCGCAAATGCCTTGTCTATCCAGACATGCCATTGCTTCTACACTCTTAGCAAGCTCAGCATTGACAGTTAGCTCTGTTTTCTTACGCCTTACATTGGGACAGTGGCGCGATTATTGCCTCTAAGAATTCCACTTCATTCTTATCACTGGGCGTTTGTTTCTTGCTATCTCTGCCATCTTCGCCTTTTTCAACGTTTACCTGCTGCGTGTTGGGCCGCCACTCCTCCATAAACAGGCATTATCGCACCACGTTCCTGTACATGGTTTTCATTCTAGATCCTAACGAGGCAAATGGTTCCAAAACATCCTTGATTCCCGAAACTCGCTCAAAGTAAGTCCTGCAGTTGGCGAAAGTAGCTGACTTCCAGCAGCATCAGAAGCAGTACCCTCGGTGTTCATGGCCGCGTCTATTTTTCAATACCTGTTTGTTCTTTTTAACTTTCTACAGTCAAGCTGATGGGTTGAAGAGTCTGGGAATTGGAAGGATTTTCAAGCTGTGAATTAGCGAAGTTTTGGTCGAGATCAGACCCGTCTAGAACCGATGGGATATTTAATTCTACTAAATAAGCCTTCCGCTCCTCTTTCTATTAATACTAAAACCATTAGCTAGTATAGTAAGGGGACTAGTAATGCCACACCGGGTTTTTCCTCCACGCACACCCTCCTTTTCCTCCACGCACACCCCCTACCGTCTAATCTTCTAATTGGCCCGGAGAGTAGCTCCAAGGCCTCTGATCCGCTCCCTCAAGTCGCTTACTATAGTAATCTCATGCTCTATCCAAATGCGGCGTGGCCATAAATAATCACATCCTTATCCTCTACTTCTATAATACACTCACCATAGCCCTTAAAGTACTATAGAGAGCGGCTGCGGCCAGGCTTAATACGGAGGGGCCGCAATAAGGTAAGGTTTTAACTGTTTCAGTATACTCCTAGGCGCGTAGGCACGTATATAGCAATATAATAGCCTATATAGACAGGAAACGGGCAGTATACATGCTAAAACGGGCATGCTGCACAGCCTTGCCGTAAGTACAGCCTTATATACGGCCTCACGTACGGCCTCACGCACGGCCTTATATAAGGCCTCACGCGCAGCTGTATATAGGCTACTGGAAGCGGTAAGAACGCACAATAAAATGGGAAGGCTGTGCAGCCTCACCCTACAACACGGATACATAAGCGCCGGAGTAGTAATCCGAGCTCTCCGGGCCAATTAGAAGATTAGACGGGAGGGGGGTGTGCGTGGAGGAATTACACGGTGTGCGTGGAGGAAGAACCCGGTGTAGCATTACTAGTCCCCTATAGTAATTCTATAGCCCTTAATATCTCTTATATTCTCTACCTCTTCTATTTAAATTATATTTATTTACCTCGCACCCCTTCTACTCTATTCTACCCTCTATTAACCTCCTACCCCCTAAATACTCTTCCTTACCTATAAAACCCCCCCTCCGCCACCGCCTCCCCAAAATCAGCCAACCGCCGTTTTAGCTAAGTGGTATAGCGCGTCACTTGTACAGCACTCCCAACCAAGTGTCCGTCATGACGAGGTCCACGGTTCGATCCCGTGAAGCGGCATTCTTTTTGCTCTTTTCTTCTTAGCATGCCTATACCCCTATAACCCCTCCCATGCCCCTGAAAATTTCTTTTTGGTGGATGGAAGGGAGACAGACTTTTGGAGGGAAGGGGCGGGATGCTGAGTACGTTGGATATGGATTAGATGCGCTTGAGCTTTGAGTGCTTGTTACACGGGGTTATAGCTGTTTAGGTGGGTCTTGGGACTTGGTGGGAAGGTGCGTGACTTAGCACAGTACATGAATTGTCAAATTCTATCGGGCTGGCGCTGCTGCATGAGTGGGCGAGGAGTAGCTGGTCTTAATCCACGTCACTAAAGAGAGTTTCGATTCAAGCCCGCGATGTAGCTATACCTTTTAGCCGCTGTGTTCTCGGTGTCCATGGGAAGTTCTCCGGTTTAGGGGGCCGGTCGGGGACACCTTTGGAAGGTTGTTAGTCAGTAAGGGTTGAGCAGAGCAGGGGATCCGAATGCGGTGGGCGGAACGCACCGACATGCCACGTGAATAACACGAAAGCTCGTGCACACTACACTCCCAACCCTCCCACCTCAATCCCCCCCAGATCAAAGCTTCTCGGGCCCCATATACAGATCAAGCGGCGACAATCTCCATCAAATCAGCTCCTTTAGTTCAGTGGTAGAACGCGTGACTCGTAAAACCCAGCTGGCCGAGCCCGGGCGATGGTGTTCCATCGGGTGTCCCTCCTGGGTGCGCCAGGGGTGGAGTAATCACGAGGTCCTCGGTTCAATCCCGAGAGGGAGCTTTCTTTTTTGTTCTCGCAGGGTATGTCTTTTGGTGCTCTGGGCAGAGCGATGGCAGAGCGATCGATCGTAGGTATCCGAAGGTATATGTGATAGAGACGTACTGAGGTGAGTAGATGATGGACGATAGATGGATAGATAGACGGGCGGCATTAAGCTATATGACAGATTAAATTCGAGACAGACTAGACATCACGGCACACCACTTATCATCGAGAAGTACAAACCACCATGATAACGTGAGAATATAAAGATGAAATTGCCAAACCCATCTGGGGCTGAACGTACAAAACCCAACACTATTCGCGCCTACCACCAATGAAGCTCAAGCCCCGCGCCACAGCACCCGCGCTATATGCAAAACTCCCCGCTCGGATACGACAAGTCAAGCAATGCTTCTATATAGGTTCATAAATCAACGAAAGCGGCCTCCGTTAGGCCTCTCGGCGAACAAATCCCCAGCTTCGCGACAGTACCGCACCTCCCCGAAGCCGTGCACGCCGACTTCGCTGCCCCAGCAGACGACTAGAGCGTCGAGGATCCCACCGAGGACGCCTTCCATGGCACCGAGTATACCCCACCCGATGGCGCCGGCGATGATGCCGATGACGTAGGCGTACATGCTGCCCTTGACGCCGGAGTCGGGGACCTCGATCATGCGCGCTGTGGTGACCCAGCCGCCGAAGCCGAGGGTCAGACACATGATGAAGCGAGTGGCGTGGAGGAGGAGCTTCGCGAGGCGGTAGGGTACTAGAGATGTTCCGGTCGGGGAGGAGAAGGACCCCGGGCTCAGTGTTGTCGTTGGTGAGGTGTTTGAGACGAACGACATCTGAGAAAGGTTGCGTGCTGCGACGCCGAGAGGTTGTCCGTGGACAGAGGCGTATGTCAAGGTCAAAGGGTTGGTGAGGGAGGCGATCGGGGTGGGGATGAGAGAGTAGGCGAACAAGGAAATGATGCCCGCGACGCGGCGAGGGAGTATGATGAGAGGTAGCCGGACAGCTAGAGACAAGAATGTCGACAGGCATATCGTGCCGAACATGATGGTCGAAGCATGGGTGGCTGATGCCTGAACGACAACTCGAGGTGAGGGTGACGGCACCGAGTTGCGGTGGAAGTACCACTGGCTGACAGTTGCTGCCGTTGTCGCTCGTTGGATTCCAGAGATGACAGCCAATGTCCAGAAATAATCCAGGACAAAAGCTGCGCCGAGCCACCAGGTGCCGAAGTCTATGATGAATAGGTTTCGGCTCTTGGAAAAGTGGCCTTCGAGGAAGAGTCGTGTGAACATCAAGATCCAGAGCCAGGTCCAGAGCACGACTGTCGCGAGCGTTGCAAAGCCAACAAGTAGGAGTGGTGACATGGTTGTCAAGATCCGACCCGTGAATTCAAGGAGTTCGGTGGCTCGGGTGAGAGAGTGGCGTCCTTTCCACACCGTGTATACCCACATGACCGCAAGCACAGCGGGCACAAAAGAGAACCACCGCATAGCCTTGTCCTGAACGCTGCCCCCGTGCCAAGTTCCTTTGAAGCTGGACACAAGAGGATAGAGGAAGAAGGCAAATAATATGACAGGCACGGATACCACGATGCCTAGAATCAGTGGCTTTACGAAAGAGCGGAGCATGGCCAGCCACAGTAATCCAACTACTATCGAAACGAGCGAGTAGACTGCGAGGAGGTGGAAGGATGAATGGAGGGCTGTGTAAATGGTATCGCCTATCGGATGCTTTTTATCTGGGGGAGAGGTCTGCAACAGGGCGATGAAAAAGGCCCCGAGTAGAGCGCAATGGCCGATGATGAAGACCTCCGCCCAGAAACGATCGTGTCGTGGAGACGCTATAGGTTCCGGTTGCACTTCTGCTGGCACGCTCTCCCGATCCGGACTTATTGGCCGTGAGTTGTCCAGTAATGCTTCCTCGTCTGTTTCCTTGTGTATTGGTAATCGTGTTCGTGGACTCCGCACTCGCCTGGGAGCGTTTCGGAACTGTTGGAATGCTGGCGGCTGGTCATTTGCATCGTCCAGAAGGTTCCCATCCGCCTCTAATTCAGCCCTGAGATCTTCCATGCTGCCTCGAATAGTAGATGCAAGCTCTACATCCACGAGCTTCCCGCGTCCCCCACTGCTAGGCTCGCTGGCTTCCGATAGAGGCACACTCTTGTCCCGCTCATCGCGCTCTTGCAGTGGTTCTACTCCGGCAGCTCTCCCTCTTGTGTTTGGTTTCTCGCCTCGCCACGAGCTCTTGATACCTCTACCGGCCCCATAATCTGGCGGATCGTTTTCTAGGTCGTGTCTTTCCACGTTGGCATCGGAGGTTCGCTCTGCGTCATAATCTCCTTCTGACGATTCTGTAAGATGACTCGAACCAAAGTGCCGCCGTGACTTCTGGAGCGCATAGAGGTCTTCTATCTCTCGGGCATGCTCATCTTGGTCATCCTCCTCTCGAAACTCATCTGTCGCGCTGTAGAATAACGGTGCTGGTGCAGCAGAGGTCCTCGATCCGAAGGCAAACTGGCCCATCCGCGAGCCGCTGGGTTGATACGGGTTTGGCATATTGCGTCGCTGAAGGTATGATTGTGAGGCGGGGCTGTTGCGATGAGTTGAACGATGGCGCTCGAAGCGGTCGCGGTTTGAGAGGGGGGCTTCTGGCTGGCCGATAGACAGCCGCGACTGCGACTGGGCCAGGAATCTCGAGGCATCTGCGAAGAAAGGGCATGCCCGTCAGTCACGCGAGTTGGTGTTGTGAGACAGTGGCCATCAGCTGCCTCGCGGGGTGTCTGATAAGAGCGCTGGAGACTTACATTCGGAGAACATGGTGCTCGGGGGCGTGGACGGGCTGCTCGTGTGCCAATAGAGCTTCCCGGGGCGTAAAGACGCCTTTTAGGCAAAGTGCAGCCTTGTGGTGACTGGGAGAGGTCGGCAGGCGGTTGGGGACAAGCTGCGGCAGTGCAAGGGCATGTGGTGGCCAAGACGGCGGTGAGAGGCTGTGGCAAGGCAGCGATGGAGCAGAGGACGTAAGGTTAGGCGCGTCTAAGGTGAGAGGTAAGAAATGGAAGCGTAGAGAAGGGATAGCTGAAGTGTGGGATAGCAATACAGCTGTTTGTATGTTCCAAGGTTGACGCTGCCTAGGTCGGACTCGAAGGCCTGCCTGAACCACTTCGGCCCGCGGTCGCCGCCGGAAACTAGCCCGAGATCCAGCAACGTCACTCCGATGTCCAGTCGATCAACACCACGCGTCTATCGTCAACTAGGTGATAATTTGAATATGTATGGTAGCGGACGGACACGAGCTCCCATGAGTTGGCTTATGTCATAGCCTAACTTTCAGCCTAGTTTGACATTCCCACCTTTTTGTTCTCCATTCTCTTTCAGTGCATGACAGCAAAGCGCTTTTCATTGTCCACACCCAGCTTCCTCCGCTGAATATGGAGCCCTTGTGGACAGAGCAATCATTATGAGACAGTGGTACTACTTGAGCGACTCTTGATTCTGAGAGATTCAGATTCGTGCTCTGAGGCCTCGAGACGGTAGCCAGACCTTGGGACGGTAGTATGTAACCAGCACGTGAGTCTTTATAGCAATCAAAGTGTCTTCTTGCGTCTCGTAACAGGTTTGATCTTCTCGAATCCAATAACTGAAAGTCTTGATTTCTCACATATCTAGGTTTACATTCGACATTGCGGATTGCTTCTAGCCGTATTGTTTCCTTCATGTATAAGTAATCCACCTGCAAGATGTGGAAATCAGTCAAGTTCTGAAAAGCACATCTTTCGCCATGTTCAAGGTCATTCAAGTATTAAACTGCTCTATGCGGCATAGAGCCCGGGTCATTGAATCGTAGACGGCGACTGAGATAGCTTTGCTCGAATCACGTGATAAGAAGGCTTGGATTCGTCTTTCAATATCTCGCAAGATGTAGTAAAACCATTCTCTATCATATCACTCCTGCGCCTTGCTGTCCCCAGCCCGTTGAATGGAGCAACTTTTACTGTAAGAATTCTCCGGTCGTTCTCAAACGTAGGTGAATGAGAAGGACCTGTGGGAAGTAATCACACAACTCGGCACCTCACCAGCTCTCTTCCTTCGGTTCCCAACAACATTAAAATCCGTTTCTCCAGCCACGACGTTCCTCCGACCCCGCCTACACATCTCCGCAGCTCTACCTACAACCACTCAATTCCCAGGTTGCAAAGAGCGCAGACACTGCAATGGATGAGAACGATCTCAACTCACCGCAAATGCGGGATGTGATCTCGATCGTCACGGAGATCAGGCGAGCAAAGTCCTATTATGCCGCCGGTCTGCCGAGATATTTTCATCAGGGTAAAGCAGTCATAGTCATGTCGTCCCGATTGTCGCACGTCTCTTGATGCACCAGAGGCAGCTGCATGAAATATAACCGCACGCTAATCGTACATAGCTAAAGCAGCTTCTCTCTACCAAATCGGAGACCCTGCTACCGGTCAAGGCCAAGGCGTCTTCGCGAAGCGCTTCATCAAAGCCGGCACCCGCATCATCTGCGGCAAGCCAGACATGATCGTTCCCAAGTCCGGATCTGGAGGATCTAGCTTTGGTGATATCTTTCCCGCCTTTCAGGCGCTGTCTCCGGCCAACAAAGCTCGTTTCCTCGCCTTGCCTTCCAGTGCTGCTACGATCCGCGGAATTCGAGACAGAACTACATACTATGCTGCAAGCCTTGAAGCACGCAAATACCTCGATGAAATCACGGACTTACACTCCAAGTGGGCTCGCAACGCGCAAAACTTCGCACCATATCCCGGGGAAGCTCTGAACCTCGATTTCGCGCATGTGAAGCATGCTTGCCTCCCAAACATTTTGCCTTTCAATGATGGCGAGGGCGTGTTCACCGTGCTAGTACTCAAGGATATTGCGGCGGGCGAAGAGTTCACAAGGACCAAGGTTGGGCCACTTGGGACCCTCTCACAGCGCAGGAACGAGCTTGCGGACCTGGACATCACCTGCTCATGCCCAGCGTGCGATATG